CCTTGCCAATCCCCCCGACACCAATCACCAGCATGGGACACATAGCACGTGCCGTCTATCAGCAGCACCCCAGCTGCAAGCTCCTGAAATTGGCAGCAAACACAACCATAGGCGCGCCCATCCTTCCCACGCCCCCGGTCTACTCCCTAACCCTCCTCAACCTTCCCTATCCCTCCCAACCCTGCCCAATCCCCCGACAGCACTAACCAGCATGGGAGGCATAGCACGTTCCATCTGTCAGCAGCATTCCGCGGCTTCAAGCTCCCATGATTGGCAGCGAACACAGGCATAGGCGCACCCATACCCCCACACCCGCAACCTATCCATCTCCCCCCCACTCACGTACTCCTTCCCCCCTCTCAGACGCTCCGCACCCCAGAAGCCTTACCAGCGTGGGAGGCATAACACGTGCCGTCTATCAGCAGGACCCGCGGCTTCAGGCTCCCGAAATTGGCAGAAAACACAGCCATAGGAGCACCCAGCCCTGCTGCTGCCATGGCCAGCTGGGGCGCGCGGGGTGCTGGTTCTTCTAATTCCGGTTCTGGTGATGGCTCTCGCGGTGAAGGTGGAGGGGGATGGTGAGGAGGGGAATTCTGAGTCAACTCAAAGGCTGCTGTACAGAGTGGTTCTGGTGGTGATAGTGGTGCTGCTGGCATTGGTGAAGGGGGTAGGGGGGAAAGGCAGTGAGGAGGAGGATTCGGTGTTGACTGGAAAGAAACGGCGAGAGGAACGGGGGTTTTCGTTGCAGTGCAGCGTTCTTGCCGTTCTTGCGAAATCTTGAAGCCACCTCTCTGACCCTCCCCACCTTCCTCTACCTTTCCCTCACTATCCGCTGCTGCTATTGCTGCGGGTTCTGCCTTCCCCCCCAAGCTACTCTTGAGAGATAGGTAGGTGCAGAATCGAGCTCACTGGCTGCAGCAGTAGGTAGCCGCATTCGTGATTCTCCTGCGAGCGACGCACTGAACGCTGCTTCTGCTGTTTCTGCTGCTGCAGCTGTAATTGAGGCTGGTGGCAGCAGGGTATAGCTGCGATGTTGACGTTGTGCCATGCCACTGATGTGGCTCATAATAGCACAATGTCGATTATGGTCTTCCTGACCATGACACCGATGATGCACATGATGGATGGTGGCATGTTGATGTTGATAGTGATGCGGATGCTGCCGCAATACATCAAACGATCTGTGTTGTTGTAATGAACAATATTGACCGAGGGTAGCAGTGGATGCACCGTTACAGGCGCGATTAGACATAGGCCCTTCGCGTCTCCTTGTCAGTGCAGCAGCACCAGGACCAGCTGCTATTTCTGCTGCTGGAGGTGCTGCTGCTTTTGATGCTGCACCTGCTACGGCGGATGCCGATGCTGCCGATGCTCCTCCTCCTGCTGCTGCGGCTGCTGCTCCTGATGCTTCAGCTCCTGCTGCTGGAGCCCATGCTTGGACCCCAAACGGTCGTCGTAACGACACGTGGACTCTACTCCAGACACGCTGACACTGACCGGAACGCATTGTCTTCTAACCAGTAGGCGTTTCCCAGCCAGTAGGTGACTCACACAGCGGCGACTTTTGAGTTGACTCCAAAGTCACTGGCACTGACTGGAACGCATCGTCTTCTAACTATTAGGTCTCTCTCACCACCTACTTCCCGACCATGTGACCGGATCTCCCTCGCTAGCTGTATGTCCTGTTTGGCAGGAACCTAAGTGCGGTTTGGCTGGAGCTCAAGTGCGGTTTGTCAGGACTTTAAGCACCATTTCACAGGAACCGAGGTGCTGTAAGCCAAGTGCCGTATCCACGTCCACGACAGTGGTGGAGAGCGGTGCAGAAGAAAGACGCCGGATCCACGGCGGACCCCTCCCAACGACGAAAACAGGAGGTTTCGCGACAGTGGTAAGGGCAGACGATGCACCTTCGTACTCGGAACGAGTGTTTCCGCTAAAAAGGTCGAGTCCGGTACAGTAACGAACCCATATCCCTCAGCGATCGAATCTTGCTGACTATTGAGATGACAAGAAACAAGGAGGAGGAGGAGGAGGAGGGGGAAACTCTATTTTCTTGCGACGGCGCAGCACACGACTAGCGCAAAATGAAGGAATGAAACGCAGCTGGCTTTTGAAACGTCTCACGAGACGTCCACACGACACTGATGAAAACTGCCTCAGCGAGGGACGGAAGGGACAGAAGGGACGGAAGGGACGGAGCCTCCTCCTCCGAAGACTCAGCAGGTGAGACCACTGATGCGTTCAGTGGCAAGGGGGGGGATGAGGACGGAGCATAGCAGGAATTCCTAGAATCTCTGCGGAGAGCAGGAGGAGGGAGGGGGGGAGGGGGTGGGGGGGGGGGGGGAGGGGGGGGGGGGGGTGGTTGAAAGCAAGAGACGTGAGAGGGAAAAGGGAGCATTCTTTTCCTTGGGGATTGCCGAGGAAAAAAAATTCAATTTGTTTTGAGCTCGATTTGATTACACTGCGATATACACATTATCTCAACATGCCACATCTCCACGAATTGCGAACGCTCCCAAGGCGGGTACAACATTCTGGCGACGCGAGCTGTTCAAGAAGGTGTGCGAGCTTCGTCAGCCCCAAAAAAGGGTTTGACGACTCGCTTCCAGAGATCGTGTTACTACGTTACTTAATTCGGTCTGCCCAGCATCTGCTCTGAAGTGTTCTTCTGCCTGCTGCTTACTAGCCCTCCAGCCATCGCCAGCTAGTGTATTGCGCATCAATGCAGGACGCGGAATGCGCTAGCGCGGCGACGAAGGGTCCGTGACAAAGCGTCTGTGCCGAAGCGTCGAAGTATCCAGGACGAAGCTTCTCTGACACAGCATCTCTGACGAAGCGTTTGTGACAAAACGTTTGTGACGACGGATCAGCGCGGCCGTGCCGAAGCGTCGAAGCGTCCGCAACGAGGCTATTCACGTTCTTCCCTTCACGTGGCCTTTTCTGACGCGACTGCAGTAGTCCCAGACTGCTCCTTTTCGTAGCCGTTGTCGCGAGATCGGCGTCGCGATCATGGCGAGAGCGACGAAGTTCGTGAAGCCGATCGTGCTGTCCGTGTTCATGTCCAACCGCTACATCTACGCTCAGGTGCGCTATACACCTACGCGCAAGTGCATTCTTGCTGCTCCTGACTGCGTACATGGCGTGAAGCGGATCGTGCTGTCCGTGTTCATGTCCAACCGATACATCTACGCTCAGGTCCGTTTCATACAGCAGCACAGCTGCGTTTCGTCGTTTTGTCTCGTTAACGCCTACACGCGTTCTTGCCGTTCCTTCCTGTAATCTCTAGAGCACATGACGCATCCTGATTCCATCCAGGGGTCGCTAGCGCAAACATGCTCGTTTTCTTAGCTCAAGAGGGCTGTTTCAACGCATGTTAGACCGCAAACAGCCGCATAAATACTCCGCATGGGCCCTACTCATCCGCTCCCTCCCTTCCTGCTCGCCTCAACTACCCTGATTCAACCCTCCTCCCTCCCTCCCTCCTCCATCCCCTCACCCTCTTGTTCATCCCATTAACCCCAATCCCTCTAATTCCATAATCCCCCCTAATTTTCCAAAGTTTGCAGACATGACTCACCATTGTCCCTTGTTTGTGTCACTTCTTTTTCATCACCCTGCATCCTTCCACCTTTTTGTTACTGCTACTGTGGCCACTGCTGCCAACATACAGGTGGTTCATCAGCCAACAGCATTCACCCTCGCATCTGCATCCTCGATAGAAGCACCGCTGCGCAAGTCCCTTACAAGCACAAGCGATAAGATTGCAGCCACGGAGGTTGGAAAGGCTCTAGCCTCTCGCATGCTGGATAAGCAGATAGGCGCTGTGGCGTTTGAATTAGGGCCCACTCAAATGTACCATGGAAAGCTCAAGTCGTTGCTGGATGCACTTACTGGATCAGGAGTGAAGCTCCTTTGATATAAGAAAAGGGTTTCGGGTAGTGTTTATGCATTGCCCAGGTGCGTGTATCTTACTGGATTGCATTTGAAAGCTGTTGTTTGTGATTCTTCCTTCAAATTTGACGCTTTCCTGGGGCTGTGTTACTCTGATTTTGTATAGCTCTAGATGCCTAGATGAAGATTGAGCATTTTCTATCTGTATTTGCAATTTCAGCCTTTTCTCCTTGTTCATGTCCTTCTTCCAAATACACCCAACCTAATCGCACCTCACCCCAATCCACGACTAAGGTAATCATTTCTTTCCAGCAACATTCGATGCATCTGCTGGTGAGGTGATGTGCTACAGCACAAGCGTCGAGTGCGGCCAAGCGGTCGTCCCGTAGGCCCATCATCCATCCGTAAGGGGGTCGCTCGCACTGACACTGAGGGCGTATCCCGCTGATACATTTGATTGCGGTTGGGTGTGATGCTCTCTAATGTCAAAAGGTTCACAAAACGATATAAAACGGTTGAATAGAGTTCTAAGCGAGAAAGGCACGCGCGGCCCACAGGGTTCGCGGCAGTCTTCAGGCCTCCTTGCTGAAGAAGCAAATTGGCGCATAGTTTTGCGCCACCTCTCCGCCCGGAACCTTGAGTTCCTATTCCGTGCTTCAAAAGGTGTTGGCAGTGCATTCCTGAAACGCAACGAAGTTCACATCTTTTTATTGTAATCAAGGCTGACAGTGTGAACAGTGCCGTAAAACCGTGATAAATTGACTTTTCAGAGTTTTGATTTGAGTCTGGCAGACTGAGCGACTTCTATGGTTCACTACTGTACAGGGTAGCACCCCTTTCTGGTTCGTCTGACTGATCAGAAGCCCTGGGACCGTTCGCTGGCAATTTTCCGAGGGGAACGGGGAGGGGAACGGGCGACCAAATCCCGCGCGCATGGAATCTGCGCAGCCAAACCTACGTAATTTTTTTTGTGTGCCCCCGTACTTTGGTAATCATAACGTCGCCGGCTCATGATTACGTCTGTCACGACTGCAGGACTGGATAAGACAAACTCGTGGACAGTGAAGAGTGGGGCCCACCAAAGCCCTCTTAGCCCATCGCAATTTCGTGGAAAATCTAGCGGAGAAAATGAGATTCACACAATTTTGTCAAAACTGCCCATTTTTTTAACATTTCAAAATGTGACCGATTGGATGTGTATGAGCTGGCGCAATTGCGCAAATCGACGGGTAGGATTGAAGGGGAAGTGGCTGCGGTTTTTTTTTTGGGTTTCGTAAACCTGCCCAGCCAAGAGGCATGCCAATCTTGGCCTGCCTCATACCACGATTTTGCAGTATGAGGTGTGGCACGGAGTTTGCCTGGCAGCTCTGGGCGGCTGATGGCCGCGCTTCGGGTTTGGCATGAGAAGGAGCATGCGATTTGGGGCAATTGGTTTGGGGAAACCGAGCCGACGCAACGTTTTCGCATGCTGACGTCACGTTTCGCAAATTGGGTTCGGCGAACCCACGAAGCCTCGATCGATGTTCCCCGTACCTGATTTCCCTCGCCGTGCCGGTGAAAATTTGGCCAGCGAACGGCCCCCCTGTGCATGGGGATATTCCTCTCCCCTTCCCATTGTCAGCTTTGAATGTTCCCCACAGTTTCTCGATCTTGCCACACTTCTCGAAGCCGCTCCCTGCTTAGTTCTGTCAGCAGCTTGACACAACTTCGCCGGGTGGAAGCTAGTCTTTCTGCTGCATTTCTCTCAGGAGCGTTCGAGAATAGCTATAGCTATATCTGCCGGGTGACGTTAGGTCGAGGCGTACTCGCGGGAATCGTCGCCGACGATGGCGCTCTTTTCGGGTTGGGTGTTCGTCGTGAGGCCCGACCCCAATGACGGGGCGCCAGCTCTGTTACCGCGTTACCTGGTGCTTGCGAAAGCAAGCCTGCTCATGTACCGTCGCGACCCGATGCTCGTGAAGAACGAGGTGCGACGAGCAGACTGTAGATTTTAGCGCGTGGAACGACGTGTATTATGCAACATAATTAGATATCGTCCTTTCGATAGTAATTTCGTTTCGAGTGACTCAATACGTGATTAATATCACACAGACTGTATATTTTAGTCGTCGTGTAACGACGTGTATGCAACATAATTTAGATATCGTCATTGGCATTGCTCACCATTTAACTAGAGATGCGCTTTCCTTGTGGTGTTGAACATCTTTCGCGAGCATTTATTCACATTTCTTTGAAGACAACCCGCTTTTCACGCATCTGATCTTACGGTGTCGATTGCGTATATCTCGCTCCCTGTACCTTCTGACGCTTTCGGAATTTTCTATTCCCAACCGCGCAACATTTCCGTGTCCGAGCAGGAACCTGTGTCCAGCGGCGTGCTGACTCCGCAACTTGCGGTGGAGGACTGCGGACGAGAGGTTTACGCCGATGGACGGGTGAGATGAGAAAGGTGTACGCTGATGGACGGATGAGATATGAGATCGGGGGGGGGAGGGGGTGGGTGGGGTGGGGGTAGAACGTTCAGATGAGGAAGCCAGTACCATTGACATTGCATTGCTGCTGACATTGCAACTGACATTGCAGCAGACCTTGCAGCAGACATTGCTACCGACATTGCAACTGATTTTGCGACATTGCAACTGATATTTTTACATATACGTTGCTACTGGCATTGCTACTTACGTTATTCCTGACATTGCTGCTGACATTACTACTGGCATTGCTGCTCACGTTAGTGCCGACATTGGTGCTGACGTTGGTGCTGACGTTGGTGCTGACGTTGGTGCTGACATTCCTTCATTCCTCTATCCATCCCCGCTATAGGATCTCCGGGCCGGGCCATCTGAGTGTAGGTCCATGTGCAACAGTCACCTCCCTAACTCCCTCACTTCCTCCCAATTCGTGCCCCTCTGGCCTGTCTATCCCCGCTATAGGCTCTCCATGCCTTCCGGGTGTACAACAAAGCCATGCCGGACCAAGGCGGAAAGGTGAGAACGGGCAAAAAGGGGTTTCGTATTGAAAATAGAGAGGGAGGATGAGCGGAGGTGGACAGGTTGTGGCGATGAGCTGACGGAAGGGATGTGATGAACCTGCTTTTGAGTCGACTAAAAAATGGAAGGGATGTGATGAAGGAAACGGAGAAGGTGAAGGAGGGATGTGATGAAAGGGAGGGATGTGATGAAGGGAGGGGATGTGATGATGGGAGGGATGTGATGAAGCCCATGTAATTGCATTGAGGTGTCTAATTGCATATAAATCAATGTATTTAGCGATTCTCGCTTGACTGTGTCCATGCACCCACCAGGTGGCAACCACCAGTGCAGGAGCAGCTCAGAAGTGGATCACAGCCATCGAAGAATCGATCAAGGAATCTGTAAGCATCTCAGGCTGCATACCCGCTGCATGACACGAGGCGAATTGACACAAGATATGAACTTCCCCGCAGAGTCTTCCTTTCGCTGGAGCAGCTCAGAAGTGGATCACAGCCATTGAAGAGTCTGCCAAGGAATCCGGAAGCATCTTATTCTCCTTCCCCTTTCGCCTCCCCTCCACGTCTTCCCTCCCCCACGTCATCCCTCCTTACTCTTTCCTGCAGGCATTGCCCTTGGCGCCCCCCCATGCGGTGCAAGCACTTGCTTGCTTTCTGTCCACTTTTGAGTTGACTCAAAAAACACTTTTGAGTCGACTCAAAAGCAAACCCACGTCATTCTTCCTTACTCTTTCCTAAGCACTTTGCATTCTGTCCACTTTTCTCCATCAAGTTTTGGCCTCCCATTTCACCCAAAGCATCTTCTTCTTCCCTTCTTCCCTTCTCCCCTTCTTCCCTTCTTCCCTGCTTCCCGTCTTCCCTTCTTCCTTTCCAAAAGACTGCTTCCTTCTCCTTCGCCCCTCCTCCTCCCCCTACTCTCCCCCCTGATCTGGACCCTTATGCCACTGCCCAAGTCCTGCTGGTTTCCCTGCCTCTCGCCATTCCTCTTGCCTTTTTACCTCCCTCATCTCTCGTCACTCCTCTTGTCCTTTTCATCCTCACCTGTCTCCGCCACTCCTCTTGCCTCTCTGACTTCCTCTTGCATCTTTAATTTCTTTACTTTACCCAACACGCCCCCCCCCCTCCCCTTCCCCCTTCTCTCTCTCTTCCCCTCGTGCATCTCTCTACTCATGATCATCTTTGCCCGTCCCTCAGGAGACTGGCGGCAAGGTAGAGAAAGCAACTGTGGGGTAAGTAAGCACCTATCGTTTTACACCTCGTTGGCTGACATGGCAGATGATACGGTCCTCGTTGGCGGACGATGCACAGTTTCGCATCTTGTGGGGAGGTGGGAACCAGTGAGGTGGTAACTAACCAGTGAGGTGGTAACTAACCAGTGAGGTGGTAACTAACCAGTGGGGTGGTAACTAACCAGTGAGGTGGTAACTAACCAGTGAGGTGGTAACTAACCAGTGAGGTAATAACCAGTGAGGTGGTAACTAACCAGTGAGGTGGTAACTAACCAGTGAGGTGGTAACTAACCAGTGAGGTGGTAACTAACCAGTGAGGTGGTAACTAACCAGTGAGGTGGTAACTAACCAGTGAGGTGGTAACTAACCAGTGAGGTGGTAACTAACCAGTGAGGTGGTAACTAACCAGTGAGGTGGTAACTAACCAGTGAGGTGGTAACTAACCAGTGAGGGGGGGGTGGTAACTAACCAGTGAGGTGGTAACTAACCAGTGAGGTGGTAACTAACCAGTGAGGTGGTAACTAACCAGTGAGGTGGTAACTAACCAGTGAGGTGGTAACTAACCAGTGAGGTGGTAACTAACCAGTGAGGTGGTAACTAACCAGTGAGGTGGTAACTAACCAGTGAGGTGGTAACCAACTGAGACCAGGGAGAATGAGAGCAGCTGAAGCTGACTCACAAGCTGGTTAGGAACTGCCGTTCATCCTGCTGCTTTGCCAATTTGCTCCTCCGCAGTGAAGTTATAAGTTGCTTGCAGGTCTTTTTGAGAATTCTGAAAGAAAGACCTTCAGAACTCTCACATTTCCCTTTCACGACGCCTTTCTGTCCACTCCTCCGTTCTCTCCCTACCCCCCTGCCCTCCCCATTCCCCCCTTCCCTGCCCCCGTTTTTGCAGGGAGCGCACTCTCTCTCGCTTGGTCTCAATCGGCCAAGGTGAGCTCTTCACTCTCCTCCAAATTCTTCCTTCTCCTCTTCATTCCCTCGCCCCCCTCTCCTCTACGTTCCCCCTCTTCCCTCCCCTCTCTTCCCTCCCCTCTCTTCCCTCCCCTCTCTTCCCTCCCTTCTCTTCCCTCCCCTCTCTTCCCTCCCCTCTCTTCCCTCCCCTCTCTTCCCTCCCCTCTCCACTACTCTGTTCAATCTACTCATGCACGTGGCTTCCGAGCCGCCACAAAACCTATATCCATTTGTTAATCTCCGTGCACTCTCTCCAAGCCACTGTCTGCTTGCCTTTCTACCTCTATCCCATCATCTCCATCTCCCCCCCCATATTTCCCCTGTCATGTCACTGCCCCCTGCCTGCCTTCTCCAGGCCTGGGCGGCATCTTCACACAGGAGATGCAGGCTTACGTGGACGTGGACGTGGGAGGCTTGAGAGTCGGCTCATCAGTGCTGCTGCCTCTTCCACTCCCCTCTCCCTCCCCCCCCCCTCCCCCCCCCCTCCCCCCCCCCGCCCCCCCCCCCACTCTCACCTCTTTCCCTGCATCCTCCAGGCCTGGGCGACATCTTCACTCGTGAGATGCAGGCAGACGTGGACGTGGGAGGGGACGCGGTGGAAACCACCAAGTGGAGGATCTTCAAAGTCGCTGACGGTAGGGATTGGCCCTCTTCCTCCCCTTCTTCTCTAGCCTTTATTAGGCTGCTTCTCCGTCCCTCGTTGCCTCTGAGGCGCTTCAAAAGCAGTGGAACGTGGGAGGGGATGCGGTGGAGTGGAAACCACCAAGTGGAGGATCTTCAAAGTCGCTGACAGTAAGAATAGCCCCTTTTCACCCATCTTACTGCCCCTCCCTCTTCCCCACTCTCCATCATCTAGTATTAGGCTGTTCCCCTGCCTCCTCTCGATTGCCTTCAACCACACAATATTCCTCTCTCCTTCCTCTCTCTCTCCCCCGGCCGCCCCCTTTCCCCCCCTTCCTCCCCCGCACCCTCTCCCCCCCCCGCCGACGTGTTTCAGGCCTTCGATTCTTCCATGAAGCATCTGAGGTGAGGCGAGGGACTATGGGGGTGGGATCCATGGGTCGGGTAAATCATGTGTTGGGAAGGTGTGTTGGAGCTGGGGGAAGGGGGGGGGAAGGGGGAAGGGGGGTAACGGAGCCCGTGTTGGAGCTGGGGGAAAGCGTGAAAGAGAGGAGAGAAGCACTGGAATGCCTTGGGATTAACATGCTGACATGGCTTGGCAGGACTCCAATATGCGTATCCAGGGAACTGCGCGCATGGCTGATCTGAGACGATGGAAAAGACACCCCTGCAGCAGCAGGAGTGCCTGTGTTCATCGCAGCACCGGCCGCGTTCGGTCCCCCAGGCAGCCGCAGCCCCCCAGACACAGGCAGCGTATCCAGCCCCTATTGCTGCTTCTCTGCTGCTGTTGCCCTGCACAGCACGAGCCCTCGGCTTCTGTATGCTGCTCAGACACCTCTCACGACAGGCAGCCCCCCAGACACAGGCGGCGTATCCAGCCCCGGTCGCTGCTGCTCTGCTGCTGCCCTGCACAGCACGAGCCCCAATCGTGCTGCTGCTCAGACACCCCTCACGTCTGTGTGGTGTGTGCATTCCCACAGTCATATAGTCAACCACACTGCCCCATTCATAGTCCCACGCGATTACGCTGTTAACCACTCACGCTGATGCTTGTGTATGACTTGAATCTTGATGGCACTGCATGTGTGTGGATTGTGTGCGTGCGTGCGTGGGTGTGTGTGTGTGTGTGTGTGTGTGTGTGTGTGTGTGTGTGTGTGTGTGTGTGTGTGTGTGTGTGTGTGTGTGTGTGTGTGTGTGTGTGTGTGTGTGTGTGTGTTTGTACATGTGCATGTTTCTGTGTCCCAACAGGAAGGGTTTGAATCGCTGATCAAGGCAGAGGGGGTGGTGGAGGCGTCGGCTGACAGCATCTTCGAAGTGCTCATGAGCACCAGCGCTGCTCTCTCAATGCAGTAAGCTCTTCTTTCCTCCCCATGCAGTGAGCTACCACATACTCACACGTACATGCATGCAAGCACCAGTGGAGCTCACTCTGGAGAGAGCGTGTGTGCGGTGGAGAGAGAGATCGTGGGATCGAGAGCTAGTGGGGGGGCAGTGGATGGCCACATGTTATTGAAACCTGCATTCCCTCTTCCCTCTTCCCTTTCACCCTTCCCATTTGCAGAGATGCGTTCACAGTGAAGAATGAGGTGGGGAGGGGGCAGTGAGTGGTCAGTTGACCACAATATCTACCACTCCTTTCCTCCCCCCCCTCCCCCTCGCCCCCCCCCTTCCGCCCAATCCCATTTATCTCATTTGCAGATGGGACAAGTTTACGGTGGAGAATGAGGTGGGGGAGGCAAGGGATGGCTGGCTGATTTGATACGGCCCTTATTTCTCCTCACATGACTTCCTCTCCCCTCATTTCTCCCATCCCGTGCCTTCTTTCTTCCCCCACCCCCCCTTTTCCTCCCCTCGTCCTCCTCGTTCGCCCTGCCAGGTGGGACACGTTTACAGTGGAGAATGAGGTGGTGGAGGCAGTGGATGGCCACACAGACATCATTTTCGCTATTGTCACAAACAGGCAGTACACGCACGGGTGAGTTTTTACATGTAGCTATTCTCCTGTTGTCACATCCACACAACTTGCATATTCTTCGCTATTGTCACCAACAGGCAGTACACTCATCATCGGTGAGTCTTGAATGTAACGAATCTCCTATTCCAATGAATCACGAGTCTTGACATGTAACGAATCTCCTATTGTAACGAGTCTTGACATGCAACAGGACGTGGTGCCCCTCTCAGCCGCCCCCTGTTGCTTGAGTGGATTCGATTGCAGTAAGCCACTGGGACTGAGACTGCTCTGCCTATCTGAAGCATGCTAGATCCAAGGAAGCGGCTTAAAAGGAAATACTGCCCCTCTCGCACATCCCTGTCCCGTCCCCCCCCCCCCCCCCCCCCCCTTTCCCCCGCCCCCCGCTTCCCCATTTCTACACCCTGGCTTCCCTATTTTTCCCCCTCCGCTTCCCCATTTCCCCCTCTGCTTCCCCAATTTTACCCCCTCTGCCCCATTATCTCCCCCCGGCTTCTCCGAGTTGCGTTCCCATCTTTGCAGGAGGCCCCTTGAGAAGGAAGTGCTGGCCTCTCGCACCTGGAGGCGCAACCACGACGGGTCCTATGGTGAGATGCCGATGGCTGTTATGGGGGTTGATTGGAACAATATAGCCCGATGGGACGATGGTGGTCTATGAGGTGTCGTTTTCTGTGGTGAGGTTTGGCTGATACAGTTGTCGAGTCTGTGGTTGCTTGGCTGCACAGCGGTATGAATGACTGAACGCATCCCTCCGCTCCCTCTGCTCCCCATTCCCGCCCACTGCCCTTTCTCTCCCCTTGCCCCCCTTCCCACTCCCCCCCGTTCCCTCCCCCATCTTCCCCCCGTTTTCTCTCCTTTCCTTCTCCAAGCATCCCCATATGCACCACCAGTTACGACAGCAAACCTCCCTTCTCTATTTCTGCTCTCTCCTTCCCTTCCCCTGCCCTCCCCTTCCCCCTTTTTCCCCACCCCTCCCCTATCCCCTCCTCTCCAGGAATCACCACGTTCAGCACCAGCCACGAGAGCGAACCCCCCTTTGCTCCTCCCTCTGTTACACGCCGTTCCCCCATCCCTCTTTCCCGTCCACTTCCCCCCCACCCCTCCCCATCCCTCCCCACCCCTCCCCCACCCCTCCCCCACCCCTCCCCCATCCCTCTCCCACCCCTCCCCCATCCCTCCCCCACCCCTCCCCCACCCCTCCCCCATCCCTCCCCCATCCCTCCCCCACCCCTCCCCCACCCCTCCCCCCATCCCTCCCCCCACCCCTCCCCCACCCCTCCCCCATCCCTCCCCCATCCCTCCCCATCCCTCCCCCATCCCTCCCCCATCCCTCCCCCATCCCTCCCCCACCCCTCCCCCATCCCTCCCCCACCCCTCCCCCACCCCTCCCCCACCCCTCCCCCATCCCTCCCCCACCCCTCCCCCACCCCTCCCCCATCCCTCCCCCATCCCTCCCCCATCCCTCCCCCATCCCTCCCCCATCCCTCCCCCATCCCTCCCCCACCCCTCCCCCATCCCTCCCCCATCCCTCCCCCACCCCTCCCCCACCCCTCCCCCACCCCTCCCCCATCCCTCCCCCATCCCTCCCCCACCCCTCCCCCACCCCTCCCCCACCCCTCCCCCATCCCTCCCCCATCCCTCCCCCACCCCTCCCCCATCCCTCCCCACCCCTCCCCCATCCCTCCCCCACCCCTCCCCCACCCCTCCCCCACCCCTCCCCCATCCCTCCCCCATCCCTCCCCCATCCCTCTCCCCCTTCCCTCCCCTTCCCTCCCCTTCCCTCCCCTTCCCTCCCCTTCCCTCCCCTTCCCTCCCCTTCCCTCCCTTCCTCCCCTTCCCTCCCCTTCCCTCCCCTTCCCTCCCCTTCCCTCCCCTTCCCACCCCTTCCCTCCCTTTCCCTCCCGTTCTCTCCAGGCATCACCACGTTCACCACCAACCACGACAGCAGGCCTGCGAACGCGCGCCGCCCTCGACTTGACTTCGCCTGTGAGTGCTTTTTAACTGGGCTTCACTTCGAGACGTCCATTGCAAACCGAGCACCGTCATCAAGCTTCGGATTTAACCGTGAAATCTGGAGGTTTAGGCCTGGGGGTTTGTGAGTACGAAAAGTGCTCGTTACCAGTAGTGATTCGCTAATGCATTGTGTGCCCCCATTCCGGCCCTCCTCCCCTCTGCTTTCTTTCTTTCCGTCTCTTGCTCCTGGTAGTGGGCTCATTTGCGACGCTTCCTTTTTTGTCCCTTTTCTCTCTGTCCCTCTGTCCCTCTGTCCCTCCTTCACTGCATACCAGTGGGCTCATGGGACATCCTCCCTCTCACCCCCTCTCGTCCCAAGCACGGCCACGTCAAATGCCTCGTGCGCCACGTCATCGAACTCGGCTCTGCACCTCCCCCCTCCTCCTCCTCCTCCTCTCTCGCCTCCTCCGCCTCCTTTTCTCACTCCGCCGAAACCCCTCCCACTCCTAGCAGGCGCTCTGCCTCTCCCCACCACTTCCACCCCGGCTCCTCCTCCCCCATGCACTCGCCTCTCCCCAACCCCGCACACGCGGTCGCGGGTGTGGCAAAAGCAGCAGCGGGGAGGCCAATCTCTTTCATAAAGGGTCTGATGAAGGAGAAGAAGGAGAAGGACGGGAAGAAGGAGAAGGGGGGGATATGCTGAAGTCTGCGTCGGTGGCGGCGGGGGGAGGAGGGGGAATGGTGTGGGAGGGGTGACGCCGGCGCAGCACGGGGGTTCGTTGGGGGAGGTGGAGGAGGAGGGGAGGCGGTGGCGCATGTGGCGTTTGAGGAGTTTGCGGATTCGTTCCCGTACGCGTCGCTGTGCCGCATTGCTGGTAGGGATTCATGCCATCGTGGGAATGTGTGCATGCATGGGTGTGGAAGATTGAGAAGGCTCGTGTGTTTCAGTATGCATCACGATGCCGCATTGCAGGTACGGAGTTGTATGGAGTCGTAGGGAGTTTAGGGCGTGTCACATTTTCACGAACAGCTTCCGTCCGAACCGAACATTTACCGCACTGTACCACGTACCGCAGCACACCATATCGCTTTCAACCTCTCTGAATGGTCGACCCTGATCCATGTTCGTAAACATTGTGACACGCCCTTTAGGGTGGTGTAGATAAACACTCTGGTGTTTGAGGAGTTAGCGGATTCGTTTCTACAGACACCGTGGAGGAAGATGTAGAGCGGTGTAAATTGGTGTGGATCGGTCGGTCTGGGCTGGTCAACTGTGGCGTTTGGGGAGTTAGCAGATTCGTTACCTTATGGCTCGCTGTGCCACATTCCAGGGAGGGTGGAACGGGGCGGTTCACAGGATTTCAAAGTGGTGTGAAATGGTGTGGAGCAGGTGGAGAGGAGGAGAGGAACACAGTCGAGATGGTTGCCAGGCAGATTGTAATCAATGCTTTCTCCTGATTCACTTCACACACCTCGCGCATCCCCATCCCACCCAATCATCTAACCCACCCCGTTCCTCGCGTTATGAGTCTGTTTTTGAACCGACTCAAACATGGACTCATAACGCATGCACGCATCCCACCCAATCATCTAACCCACCCAATCATCTAACCCACCCAATCATATAACCCACCCAATCATCTAACCCACCCACCCCATCCCTCCCTGGCTTGAGGGAGTATTTCGCGGTGCAGCCAGCAATGGAGGAGAATGTGGGGAGGAGCACAGACGAGATGGTTGCCAGCCTCATGGAATCACACCAGCTTTGGGGGCCCCCAAGTGACCTGCCTGCCAACTTGCCCGCCTTCCCTCCCTCCCCGCCCCCCACTCCCCAGGCTTGAGGGAGTATTTCGCGGTGCTGCCAGCGATGGTGGAGAAGGTGGGTGGAGCTCAGACGAGATGGTGGCTCGTTGGGGTCAGCTCAAGCGATTCTCGTGCCCACATTTCGCCTGTGCCCACCTCGCAGGTCTGAGGGAGCACAGCAATTCGCTGCCCAGCCTGCCATGGAGGAGCATGTGGTGGAGAGGAGCACAGACGAGATGGTTGCGAGCCTCATGGAATCACACCAGCTTTGAGGCGCCTCAAATTGACCTGCCTTCTGCCTACCTGCCCGCCTTCCCCCCACGCCCCCACCTCCAGGCTTGAGGGAGTATTTCGCTGCCCAGCCTGCCATGGAGGAGCACGTGGAGAGGAACACAGACGAGATGGTGGCCAGCCTCATGGAGAGGACGGAGTCGCTTGAGGACCAGTTCTTTGACGCTGAAGGCGAGGAGGCGGAACCCGCTAAGGTGTGTGCGCGTGCTTCTAAAGAGTACAATAGGCACAGGAGAGGTGACACGAGAGGAGCAAGGAACACGGACGAGATGGTTGCAAGCCTGATGGAGAGGACTGAGCCGCTTGAGGACCAGTTCTTTGAAGTGAAGGGGAGGAGGGCGCAGAACCCGTTCAGGTGTGTTTGTGCGTGCTTATGAGATGGCCAGGAGAGGTTTCACTAGAGAGGTTTCACTAGAGGAGCAAGTGCCAGAGAGTGACCGAGGTGTGGTTGCCAGTCTGATGGAGAGGACGGAGTCTCTTTTCCCCCTGTTGCTGTAGTTCTGTGGCCCTAAAGAGGGGAAGGCGATCGAGAGTTGCTTATAGGTTTGCGAACGAGATTTGCTTATAGGTTTGCGAACGAGATTTGCTTATAGGTTTGCGATCGAGATTTGCTTATAGGTTTGCAAACGAGATTTGCTTATAGGTTTGTGAACGAGATTTGCTTATAGGTTTGCGAACGAGATTTGCTTGTAGATTTGCGATCGAGATTTGCTTACAGGTTAGCGATCGAGATTTGCGTCAAGGTTTGCGATCGAGTACAAAGGTAGAGCAGGTACATGAGAGAAGTTGAGGAGCAAGGTTTGCACAGATGCGCCCCCCTAAGAGTGTTCACTAATCGGGCATCAAGCGGATGGTGCAGTTTACCTCTCAACTAGAATAGATTCCCACTCCCTTTGTCCCTACATTCCCTCTCGCTCGCTCCCTACATTCCCTCTCGCTCTCTTCCTACATTCCCTCGCGCTCTCTCCCTACATTCCCTCTCGCTCTCTCCCTACATTCCCTCGCGCTCTCTCCCTACATTCCCTCTCGCTCTCTCCCTACACTCCCTCTCACTCTCTCCCTACATTCCCTCTCGCTCTCTCCCTACATTCCCTCTCGCTCTCTCCCTACATTCCCTCTCGCTCTCTCCCTACATTCCCTCTTACTCTCTCCCTGCACTCCCTGTGGTCCCCTACCCCTCTCTTCCCTCCCCCCACCCCGCACCCCCACTCCTCCCCCCTTTCCTCCACCCCCTGCAGCAAAAGGTGTCGGCCAAGGCTCGCTGGCAGGGGCTCAAGTGGATGGTGCAGTTTGGGTTCCGCCTGCGCTCACGTGAGTGCCTGCTTGGGGTGTGGGCAGAAGGGACGGGGGTTGAGGGCATGTGGGCAGAAGGGACGGGGGTTGAGGGCATGTGGGCAGAAGGGACGGGGGTTGAGGCATGTGGGCAGAAGGGACGGGGGATACGAGGGGGCTCAAGTGAATTGTGCAGTCAGTCAGGCTTCCGTTTGCAATCAGGTGAGCCTTTCGTTCGGGTGTGGGCTGAAGGAACGGCTGTGGCGGACATGCGCGCTGTGCTGCAGAGGGGCTCAAGTGGACAGTGCAGTTTGGATTCTGCCTGCGCTCACGTGAGTGCCTTGGTTGGGGGTAGTGCTGTGTGGTGCGAGTGCCTGGAAAAGGAGTGGTGGCGGAGAAGGAAAGGAGGAGGGCAAAGCAGAGGTGGGTGGGAGGTGTGGCGAGAACTGCTGGCGGAGGCCACACCGTGGATCTGGCAGCCTTATGGGAGCAAACGAGGGCTTCAGCCTCCCTGCCGTCTTCCCTCCCTCCATCCCTCTCCATCCCTCTCCATCCCTCTCCATCCCTCTCCCCGGTCCCCTTGGCCCCCTTACTTACCTCCCTTCCCAACCCCTACCACTCGCTCTCACTCACACCCCCAGTGTTTTTGGTTGTTGAGGAGGACAAGTAGAGGTGGGAGGTGCGGCGAGAGCTGCAGGAAGAGGTCACACCGGTGGACCTGGCAGCACTGGGGGAGCAGATGCAGGCAGCAGCCTCCCTGCCTCCTGCCTTCCCTTCATCCCTCTCCCTCCGCTCTGCCTTCTCCTTATCCACCCCCTCCGTGCCCATTCTCCTGCCCCCTCTGACTCTCCCTCCCCCTCGAGCCCCCAGTGTTCTTGGTTGAGGAGGAGGAGGACAAGGAGAGGTGGGAGGTGCGGCAACTGAAGCGACTCCTTCATCCCTCTATGCCCACTTTCCCCCTTCCAGTGTTCCTAGTGGAGGAGGAGGAGGAGGACAAGGAGAGGTGGGAGGTGAGGAGAGAGCTGCAGGTAGATGTCACGCCGGTGGACCTGCCGGCACTGGGGGAGGAGATGCAGGCAGCGGCCTCCCTGCCTCTTGGGAAGGACCCCAAGGACGCCCATGCGTGGAAGCAGGCGGTGGCGGATAACTTCTGTGTGCGCGGGGCGACATACCTCTCGGATGGAATCAAGGTGCGTTCTCTTCTCTCTTTGGTCTGACCATCTTGCTCTTGTGAGGAAACAAGGCACATGCCGGTGGACCTGCCGGCACTGGGGGAGAAGATGCAGGCAGCGGCCTCCCTGCCTCTTGGGAAGGACCCCAAGGACGCCCATGCGTGGAAGCAGGCGATAGCTGATAGCTTCTGCGTGAGCGGGGCAACTTATCTATCGGATGGGATCAAGGTGGGCTTGCTTTGAAGTGCTTCTGCTTGCTCTGGGGATCGGTGAGGGCAGCAGCCTGCCTCCCTGCCTCTAGGGAAGGACCCCAAGGACGCTCATGCATGGAAGCAGGCGGTGTCAGACAACTTCTGTGTGCGCGGGGCGACCTACCTCTCTGATGGGATCAAGGTGCGTTGCTTTGAAGCCATTCTGCTTAACTGCAGAGACTGTTGAGACCACACGCCTCCCTGCCTGTTGGGAAAGACCTCAAGGATGCTCTTGCATGGAAGCCAGCAGGCTCGAGTTAACTCTCTCACTTGCTTCTCTCTCACCCACCTCTCTCCCACCCACACCTCTCTCACCCTGGTTTCTGACCCTCCTCTGTTTCAACCTATTTCACCCTCCTCTGTTTCAACCTATTTCACCCTCCTCTTCCACTTCTCTCACCGGATCCCAGCAGCCCAACCCCTTCTCTCCCTCCTCACAGTGGGCTGGTTCAAAGACCCTCTCCCTTACCCTCACCCTCTTCTCACCCTCTGTTCCTGTCTCCGCTTCTCGCATTCACCCTCTCTCACCAGATCCCAGCAGCGCAGCCGCTTCTCTCCCTCCTCGCTGTGGACTGGTTCAAATCCGACACCCGCATTGACAACGTGGCGGCAAGACGTGGCTCCCTCATGCAGGTATAGATTTGAGGCGCCTCAAAACGTGGCGGCAAGACGTGGCTCCCTCGTGCCCGTATAGACGGGGATGCGGGTGGGACTGGCTTGAATGAGACTCTCAATTTGACAATGTGGCGGCTAGGCCGGGCTCCCTCATGCAGGGGTTGGAAGAGGAATGGTGATGGGGGGAATAGAGAGGGTCTAGTTTTGAGGCGCCTCAAAACTGGAATGGTGATGGGGGGAATAGAGAGGGGTCTAGTGAGATACAGGAGAGGGAAGGGAGGAGAGGGAAGAAGAAAGGGCAGGACTGGCAGTGGATTGGTTGAAGTCAGACTCTCAAATTGACAACGTGGCGGCTAGGCCGGGCTCCCTCATGCAGGTATGGAGAGGGGGAGAGAGGGAGGGCGAGCGAGACAAAGCGGGGCGCAAGAGAGGGGGACGGGTTCAAATCCGACTCTTGCATTGACTACATGACAGCTCCCGTTCGTCTCTGTGCTCAACCTGCTCAACCTGCAACTTCCCAGCAAGCCCAGCTACTGGTGCTTTGCTGGCATTGATACCTTCGCCGTCCTTCCCTCCCTCTCTACTTCCCGCCTTCCCTCCTCCCCCCTAGTAACCCCAGTCGGAAGCAGACAAGAAGCTTCTGTTCGACTTTGTTCTCAACCTGCAGATCTTCGGAAAGCCCAGCTACTCGGCTGTCGCTTACTTCGCTACCTTTGTCCTTCCCTCCTTCCCTCCTCCCCCCTGTTAACTCCAGTCGGAAGCAGGCAAGAAGCTTCCGTTCGTCTTCGTGCTCAACCTGCAAGTGCCTGGCAAGCCCAACTACTCGGCTGTTGCTTACTTCGCTGCTGATCGGCCCGTGAAGCCGGACTCTCTGCTGGGCCGATTCGTGAACAGCGAGGAGGATTCTTTCCGCAACAGCCGCTTCAAGCTCATCCCCCGCATTGAGGAGGTATGTGCGTTGTTGACCCCAGCCTTTAGGCTGAGAGGCTAACCCGGCAAGCCAGACGGTTCCTACCGCAACAGCCGCTTCAAGCTCATCCCCCGCATTGAGGAGGTACGTGCGTTGTTGACCCCAGCCTTTAGGCTGAGAGGCTAACCCGGCAAGCTAGACGATTCCTACCGCAACTGCCGCTTCAAGCTCATCCCCCGCATTGAGGAGGTACATGCGTTGTTGACCCCAGCCTTTAGGCTGAGAGGCTAACCCAGCAAGCCAGACGATTCCTACCGCAACAGCCGCTTCAAGCTCATCCCACGCATTGAGGATGTGCGTGCAAGGTGTGCTGTGACCGAACCCAATGACTTTTTAGGCGAGTCAAAGCGAGGTCCCTTTTGAGTGGAGTAAAAAAACACGTGCGGTGATCACTCGTTAAAGCTGCACCCATTGCTGTGGCAGCTTGCCTTGCCTTGCTACTCTCTCTCTCTTTCGCACTACCTTCTCCACCTTTCAGACCACACGGCGTCTGGGCAGTGGGAACAAAGCCTGGCTGCGACTAGACTCATTCATACCTCTGCCCTGCTCGCCCCTTACTCCTCTCCTCTCATCTCTCATTGTCCCTTTCTGACCGCAGGGCTTCTGGGCAGTGAAAAGGGCTGTGGGGACAAAGGCTGCTATTCTCGGCAAGGCGCTGACCTGCAGCTACCACAAGGGGGAGAACTACCTCGAGGTAGGGAAGAAGGATGGATGACCTGGTGAAAGGACTAGCTGGAGAGGTATGTGCTTGAGTGTGCCAGCCAGCTCACATTGCTTGGTGCAGCAACCACCCACCAAGGCTGCTTGTCTTGGCAAGGCACTGACTTGCAGCTACCACAAGGGGGAGAACTACCTCGAGGTTGACAGAGTGACATAAGGGGGAGAGGTAGAAAGCGAAGGACAGTCACAAGGGGTCACCTTGCAGTGCGGCTTCTACAAAGAGGGCTCAAAGTGTCTTTTTGCCAGTGTTGTGCTGCCTTGTGTTGTGCTCAAATGTCTTCTATATTTTTCAAATTTCCCCCCTTTTTCCTTTCCGTTTTCCTTTCCTTTTTCCTTCCCTTTTTGTGAACAGATGGACGTGGACGTTGGGTCCTCCTCTGTCGCCCGCAGCGTCATTGGCCTCGTGCTGAGCTACGTCACTTCACTCGTTGTCGACCTTGCTCTGCTGATTGAGGTCAGTATGCCACGCGCTGGCTCTCTGATTATCTGAATAGTGCGCCAAGGTCACGCTACTTCACAACTCCTGGAGAGTCGCAGTGTCGTTGGTCTTGTGCCCAGGTATGACACCTCGCTTGTGGTCTACCTTGCGCTGTTCACTGAGGTGGGATGAGTCTACTTCCCTCCTTCCTCCCTCATTGGGCTTGTGCTCAGCTTTGTTCCCCCCCTCCTTCCTCCCTCTCTTTCTCTCCCGTTTACACTTTGTAGGCACAAGCTGCGGATGAGTTACCTGAGTACCTCTTGGGCACTATCACTCTGATGCGCCTCGAACCAAAGAAGGCTGTCGACCCGCCTCCTGCATAAAATGTATTTTTATTAAGCATATGCCAACCAACTATGAAGATCCCATCTTCGCAATGCACCTATAGTATGGGCTGACATAGTATTGATTATTCATGTTTCTTGTGTTGCTTAGAATGTGCATGAGTGTTTGGTGGCAGGTACCCTTGCAGAAATAGCAATTCATCCGATTTGGCTACAACCACTTTACATGATAATGAATCAGGGCCTCAGATTGCAGGCTTTTTACCCTGATTCAGGGTAAAATCAGGGCTTTTTCGGGGGGTGACCCTGATGAGACAGGATTTTTGTAAGACACGCCTGAAATTTCAGCGTTTTTTAAGGAGTGAACTCTGATCGATCAGCGTTACTAGTGTAGTGAGCCCTGTGTGTCCAGATTCGTGTAATAGCAGATTCGCAGCCCCCACCCCTCCACCCGTGATTTCCGTGAGTTTCCCCAACTGCCCCTTGTCAATCCCGCCGCCTTGAGTGCGACTGTCCATTTTTGTTTCCGACGCGGTCGTACTTTCAGAGCCCAAACCTAGCCTTGGTCCCTCTGCGCCTGCTGCCATTGAGAACCCTGCTACCGCATAATACTAGGCATATATTACACAGCGTGCTCACTGTATAATCATGTTTACTCAGCGTGAAAATTTCTAGGGACCCTGATGGATCAGGGAAATTTTTTTGGAGAGGCCTGAAAAATCAGGAGACCAAGGTGGGGGGACGCTGAGCTATCAGGGTGCCTCTAAACGAATCTGAGGCCCTGTAATGAATACAACATGGACTTTGTTTGTTCAGGCATGAGAGCATTGAAAGGATGGTGCAATGCGAGGGTGGATATGGGATAAGATGTTTTTCTAAATTGTGCTGATTGGGGTTGAATGTTACCATGCTCATTTCCTTTAAAGAGAAATTGAGCGGAGCGATTTCGAGTATGAACAATCCGTGGTGCACCACCCACCCTGCCCTCGAATCCCAAAAGTTTTGGGTAATTTCAGTCACTGGAACCATGCCACTCGAGCCCCTTTCACCCGCAAAACCCTCCCCTCCTCTCCCCTTCTTTCCTTCGCCCCGTCGCGTCAAAAGACAAAACCAGAGCAAGCGTGTGATATGAAATCGATGTTTCCTGACGTCACAGAGCGTTTCTGTGCGCTTCTGCGCGTTATAGAATTATACAGTACGTTCAAATACGGTGACTAGTCTCAATGGTGAGACGATCACTACTCCCCACCTCACTTTCTCCCCCCCACTGGTCTCCTCCCTCTGCCTCCCTCCCTCCCTCCCTCCACCCATCATAACCTCGCTCCCTCCAAACTCCCTCTCCTCTCTCCTCCCTCTGTTGGTTACCAGGACTTCCACGCGCGCCGCTGCTCCACCCTAACCTGCCGCCATGGTTAGTCACGTCCTTCGTCGTAATTGCCTCGAGTCGCTTACCCCGCCAGATTAGCCTTGCTGTGATTCTCCGATCGTTGTTTCCACTAGGCCGGCTTACCCTCCCGATTCCGCCGCGACTTTCGCGATTTTAGGGTTTGCTGTCAAGATTAAATTACCCTCCTGATCATGCTCGTCTAATGTTTCCTTGGTGCTAGACACCAATCCCTCCTGATCATGTTCGTCTAGTGGGTACCCGGGTTTTAATCCGCGTCTTTCAAGATTAGACCCATCCATTCGCTCCTCGGATACTCGCTCAAATGCTCGCTCGTCCGTTTTCCCCGTGCCGGTTCCCGGCAGCCTTGTGGAGAAGCAGATGAAGATCAAGCGGTAGAGGGCCGTCCGCATCAAGATGTAGCTCGACTGTGACTGCATCAAGCAGATGAAGTCGAGCCGAGGAATGAATGTGCCTCTGGCTCCACCTCCCACCTCCCACCTCCTCCCTCCTCCCGGCGCTCCGCCCTACCCCCCCGGCGCAGCCGTCCCACAAGCCCCCCCGCATCAATCTCGAGCTCGCCAAGTAGATGAAGCGAAACCGTCAACGGAATCATTTTCTCCTCCTCCATCCCTTCCCCCCCTTCCCCCCCCCCTTCTTCCCCCCCCCCCCCCCCCCCCCCACCTCCCTCCCCTTCCATTCCTGTCCGTGCCGTGCGCCGCCGTGCAGCCGTCCCACAAGGCTCTCCGCATCAAGCTCAAGCTCGCCAAGAAGATGAAGCAGAACCGGCCCATTCCGTACTGGATCCGCCTGCGCACCGACAACAAGATTCGGTAGGCTCGATGCCCGCATAACTAACCCTAGCGCTGTCCTCATCAATCTCGTCACTATGCTCGTCAGTAATGGCTGGACGGCCTAGATATGAGGCAGAACCGGCCCATTCCGTACTGGATCCGCCTGCGCACCGACAACAAGATTCGACAGGCGGTAGGTTCGATGCTATTTTTCTCCTCATCACAATCCTTGGCTCTCAGGGATTTGGGAAATGGACGGAAGGTCGAACTTCTTGGAGTCGGGAAAAGCAGAATCGGCACATTCTCAACTGGATTCGCCTTCTCTCCTCATCGGCACATACCTTGATTTGTTTTTCCCCCTTTTCCCGAGATTTGGCTTTTCAGTCATGAGGTGAACGTTTAGCTTCAGAGCGCAAAGCTAGTCCGAGTGGGCATAGATGATCACCTGTTGAGAGAATCCTCTCATGCAGCTGGTTTCGAGAATTCTGATTATCAGCTGTTGACCAAGCAATAAGGCTGTCAGCAAAGCTGGCGCCAATAGGTATCCATAACGCCAATGGACAATGAGGAGATTTCTGAGAATTCTAAAAAATCTCTCACATGGTGGCCACCAGCTCCTCGTTGTTGCCCATCGCATCCACTCCCCCTCTTATCCTCCTTCATTCTCTTCCGCTCTCTCACCCTATACCGGTCAACCTCTCTCCCCCCCTTCCTCTCACTCACAACCCCCCTCTCCGTCCCACACACACTCGCTCGCACGCACGGCCCGTGTGCCGGAACGCGATGGACGAAAATTGAGAGCCCAGCTGGTCCAACGAGCAGGTGTAGCGAGCATGTTGAGAGAGCAGGTTGAGCGAGCATGTGTAGCGAGCAGGTGTAGCAAGACGATCCTGGGTAGGCAATGCTTTACGGCTATCTAGTCCAGCTCCGTGCCGACAGTTGAGAGCTGATTGGACCCCCTGATCCGTTCGTTTACGGCTTTCCGTGAACGGCAGGGGAAGTGCAGTGGACCATCGCGGGCGAGCAGCAGACCAGTTCTGAGGCGATAGTTTTGTTTGGGTTCCGAGGCTGTAGTCACGCGTCAGTAGTACCGCTTTACGTACCAGTAGTACCGCCTACTATACCAGTAGTACCGCTTTTGAGTACCACTAGCAGGCTAGAGGGTCAGCAAGTAGAGGCAGGTCGCTTCCCTAGCCCTGGTGGCGTGTGGTGAAGGGGGAGGGGGTTGGGGAAATGGGGGGAAGGGGGGTGGGGGAGGGGGGGGCATTTAAGTGGGAGGAGGAGGGGCAGAGGAGTGGGGAAAACCCTCCAGTTGGATTAATCCGTCTCCTTAGCAGGTCGAGGGGACTTAGGGCGCAGAGCGTAATAAACCTGGCTACGTTTTACGTGTACTATTTGTGATCCGGTAACTTGGTTGATGGTTACACTGTACGTGTGCACGCGTACACCCGTGGGCTGACACCGCTCCGCGATAGTGGTGCGTTAGGTCTGGAGCCCACCACTGGTATCAGAGCTCATGTTTGTTTTCCTCGCGCTCATGGTTCCCCCTGCTTCTATATTTGTTTCTGCCCACCCTTGGTTCCCCAGGTACAACGCCAAGCGCCGGCACTGGAGGCGCACGAAGCTCGGGTTCTAAGCGCAGTGCAGCTGACAAGGGGCAGCATGAATCGTCGTTGATGGTGTTTGGAGTATTGGAGCATGTAACAGAATCCCACTGCTGTTGCCTTGCCTCTGTTGTACACGGAATTGAGCTGATCTTGATCAAGCTGGCAGGGGGGGCTTTCTGCTGCCCTGTGCCCACCCGAAGCAAGGAACGCTGCTTCTTGTACGGGGGTTCGAGTGAGCTGATAACGTGTACATGTGGTATTGGTTTCAGTGGAATTAGCTTACAATTTAAGTATGGAATGGAGTACCGTAATCTCCCGGCATGATTACCCCCCCGAAAAAAGGGACTCGGTCTTTTTTCCAGACCATGGGTCTTAATATCGTGAAGGGATTGTGAGGACCCGCTGTCTGGGGTAAATCATTTGAGCACCCCCCCTTTTCAGTTTTAAGAGGTTTTTCTGGCAGTTGTTGCTCAATTTCAGAATGCGTCATGCACTACGAAGTCAACTTCCACATCATGGAGACTCCGTGAACGAACCCCCTGTCAAACATGTGTATTTGTCATGTTTGTATAGACTGTATAGGGTCGCCTCTTAGAGAGTACAACACTTAGGTATATCTGTGTGTACTCTCACTCTATCCATCATTGACTTCTCTAATTTTGATATGGTATCACGCGTAGGTAGGATCCCCCCCCCCCACCTACCGCTTCCGCTCGCCCCCCCTAGCCTAGTCGT